TTGGACGGAGCGGGCCGGGAAGGATACGGTGCGGCGACAAGACGGGGAGTACACGGACCTTGGGCTGAGAACGCAGGCGTGGGACGCAACGGTGTGGCGTGGAAGAGCTGGAGACCTGTATGTACCCTCCCAACGCTTGGTGTTCGTGCGGAGCGGCTGAGGGAAAGCCGCTCACAATCGGTGAGTCCAAACACGAAGGGTGGGTACATTGGGGTGGAGCAGTGTCACCTCTCCACTGGCGACTACTTTCCCGACAGAGCCGGTGGATCGGTGCAACGCGGACGGGTGCGGAAGGAGCACGGACGGAGAGGCATCCACGGCCCGGGGGATCCAGGTGGACCTATTGGACACAATCCGTGCCTGGTGATCGAGCGGAGCGGCTGGGGAAAAAGCCGCTCCAAATCTGTGAGTTTCCCACACAAGGGTGGGGCAGCGCGAAGGGGTTCACGTTTTCTCCCCACTGGCAGCTCTCTTGTGTGGCAGGGCCGAGTCGCGGAGTGGAGAAGGCGGCCAGGGGAGCGTGCGTGGAGGGCTACAACGCGGAAGCCGGGGGGGAAGGAGTTGGATCCAATGCTCTGCCCTGGATAAACTCTTCAGCCTTCTTTTTCCTTTTCTTTGTTAACATTTTAGCGACTGTTAATTGTTTTAGCCAGGGTTCAACATACTTTTAATCGTGTATTTTACTATTTTTTTAATTTTGCTTAAAGTTGTAATAAATTCACTGGAATTGTTTTTAATCTCTGGTTTGAATTACTGCTCACCCCTGGGTATTGAACCCTAGCTTTTTTATTGGGTCCTAGTCCCCCTACTAGGTGGCGTTGTTGGCAACAAATATTTAGAATTCGGTCGGGATCTTTAGAAGAAAAATTGAGTACTATCCCCCGCCCCTTTCCACTTGGCCACAACGACTTGCAAGTCCCACCTCTGACTATTACTACCACTACTTGTACTACAGCTATATCCACAAGTTAAATACATTTCCAAACATTTTAAAACACACACAGGGTGCATTAAAAGTCCCAAGTCCACTTCATATTTGAATCAGTCTTACTATTGTTTGTTTGTTGGTTTATTATAGATTGTTTCTTTGTTTTGGGTGGGTTGGTTGTTGGGTTGGTGTTTGGTTGGTTGTTGTTGTGTTTGTTATTGGTTATTTGTTGGTTGGTTGATGGTTTGTTGTTTGGTTGGTTGTTGGTTATTTATTTGTTGGTTGTTGTTCATTTGTTGACGGTGGCGTAGAGCTGAGCAGGGTCCTCCACAGTGATGTTCCTCACTGAACTGTAGGTCACCTCCTCCTCCTCCTCCTCACTCTGTCTGACCTGAGCAGAGGAACAGGACAATATCTTACATGAGTATAGAATGTATTTATATGTATGAGATTTGTTGGGAAAATCCATCAATCCAAAAGGATCTACAGTCGTCCTGGGGTAGACTTGCCTTGCAAATCTAGAATAATATCTGTGTGTGTTTTTACACAGAGGAATATCAGTGTGATCACCACTCCCTCTGAAACACCTCAAGTCAGACTCAAACACGACCGTCCAATCAGATTAATCTATTTCAGTGACACACATTTCAGTGAGCTCATTGGTCATTTATTTTTTGAACAATCAGACATTTTTGGGTTTAGAGCTTCACTCATTGATTCTGCAGAAATCTGCAATGTTTTTCAGTCCTGTGTGAAATGTTTCAGTTCTGGTTTAGTCCTGGTTTAGTCCTGGTCTGGTCCTTACCTCATTTCTCTGGTTGTTCCTGTTGTATCTGATGGTCGAGTAGGACACTCCTTCTTCTTCAGGTTCAGCCTTTGAAGAAAATATTCAAATGAATCAAAGTTCTAGATTTGATATTTTATCAGACGTCATTTTGGGCAGAAACTTTTGACCTGCACATTTGAATGTGAACAAAGACCAACATCACCCACCAACTGTGAACCATGCAATTAAACTGTATTATCTTTACCTTCTTCTGTTTGGACCAAATCCTCACATTTTACATTCTATTTGTTCCTCACTACAGTCTGCATCAAAGCCTTAGCCAGGCTGGCGCCATCTAGTGCCTCCACTCAATTTCATTTCACTCATTTCACTAGATCAGGAATCAGAATACAATAAATGGTTCACAAAAACCCCGGAAATGCAAGTTTGGGCACCAGCCAATCATTGAAGAGTGATATTCTATGTTGTCAACAATTCCCGAGATCGAGGATTTAAAGCGAGAGTAAAGACAATGTTTGGTGAATTTTATCAAGGGGAAAGATGTTATTGTCCTTCTTCCTACAGGATTTAGGAAAAGCTTAATATACCAGTTAACCCCGTTAGCGGCGCATTACATACATCACGACCAAAGAGCAGCGAACTGGTTTAATGATAAAAAGTACATGCCTGCTGTCGAGCGAACGGTGGCTGTGAGGTCAGACAGTTTGTATGAAGTGAAAAGAAGTAAAACTGGCTGATGAATCAAGCTATCAACACCCTCCCCTTACAAACAACATTTGTCAAGTGTGTTGCCCAAAAATACAACAACAGGAAGCGCTGGCCAGATCAGAGATGAAACAGCCAACATACAAGTTATGGTTAGGGTGACAAGTTAGGTTCCTGTTTTTATTTATTTTTTTAATCACACATTTCTGTTGAACTCACTCACCGTAAGCATTTATTAATTTTTGACAGAAATGACAAAATCAAATGATTAAACTCACAGGAGGGTCACTTCTGGTGTCGGGCTTCACTGTAAACAAACACACATGTAGATTAGTTCAAGAGAAAGTATTTCATTGTCCCACAGGAAAAGTGCAGTGTTGTAGCAGAAAAGTAGAAGAAGAGCAGCAGTAGAATTACACTGTCAAATCAATAATACAAATATGAAATGGAGAATATTAGTGACTATACCCAGGTTAAGGTGCTTGGACCTTTTACACCACAGGTGTCAAACATACGGCCCGGGGGCCGGATCCGGCCCTCCAAGACCTTTAATCTGGCCCTTGGCTGATTTTCTACTAAAATATTTCAATTATATTTTCTATTTAAATATTGGTAATTTGGTCTCCAGCATCTCTGTACTGGCCCCTTCCCACCAGAGCAGCACAAATTGAAGACTTGTCTCTTTCCAAACGCTCTTTACAAGGACGATCGTTTTGACTGTTGACCGTGACACCCTCATCAACAAAATGTCC